TTAGAGCAAGATCAGATAGGAGTGATAGAAGAAAGGATGAGGGTAGTGGATAGATCAAGGCAACTGGAGATGTCGATTGACATTACACTTGAATAGCTGGAGATTATAGCTCACAGGGAAACAGGAGAAGGGAAGGGAGTTCCACAGGCGAGAGGTGCGAGGCATGAAGCTATTAGAGTAGAAGAGACGGCTACATTTAGGGGTTTCGACAGTGAAGGGGTGAGAGCGGGATTCCAGCCTCGTAGGGCGCTGGAACTCATGACGTCTGGGAACCAGCGAATGCAGCTCCTCAGAGCAATTTCCATGAAAGTATTTGTAGAACAGACAGAGGGAGGCGACGGCGCGTCTGTGAAAAGTGACTGTAGACGAGACGCCAGGGCAGGGCCAACCACATTGCATATCCGCCTCTGGAGCCTATCAAGAACCCCGAGGCAAACAGAAGGGGCACCAGACCATATATGGCAGCAATACTCCATGCAAGGGCGAATTGTGGATTTGTAGATCTGGAGGATCGACTCCGGGGAGAAAAACTTCCTGGCGCGGCTTTCCTTGCGGTGGACGAAGCAACTGACAATGTATTTATTCCATCTCAGGTCAGCAGTCAACGTGAGACCGAGAAGCCGCAGAGAGTTGCATGGTTCGGACTAGTGCCCTAATCTTTATTGTTATATTCACGACGTTTCGGCCGTTGTACGCTCCGGCCTTCGTCAGGTCATATACGTTGGAATTTCGTCCACCAAGAACACATAGGTCAGTAGATAAAACGTTAGTAGAAGTAATCCTTTGACTTGATCCAAAGAGTTTTGCGTCCAATATCTGGCCACAGCAGAGGTGAACAAAAACATGGAGAGTTTAGCTGATAAAAGAACAATAACTGAAAGTGAGATATCCAGAAAAGGCACGGCATGTGGAAATAGAACAATCTACCCCGATGGGCGAAATAAAGGGTTCGATTCGAAATTCCAACCGAAACGTTGTGAATATGACAACAAAGATGAGGATAATACTCCGAACAATGTAAATAGTGTAAATGGTTACAATACTTTATCTCAGACATATAGACAGATCCTGAAGAAGACCGAAGCGTACAACGGCCGAAACGTCGTGAATATAACAATAAAGGTGAGGATAACAATCCGAATAAATTAAATTAAATAGTGTAAATAGTTACAATACCTCATCTCAGAAATATAGTCAGATCCTGAAGAAGGTCGGAGCGTACATCGGTCGAAACGTCGTGTATATGACAATAAAGATGAGGACAACAGTCCGAACAAATTAAATAGTGTAGTTACAATACCTCATCTCAGAAACAGAGATCCTGAAGATGGTCGGAGCGTACATCGGTCGAAACGTCGTGTATATGACAATAAAGATGAGGACAACAGCAATATATGACAATGTAAGTAGTATAAATAGTTACAATATTTCATCTCAGAAATATAGACAAAAATTTGGCATACTCACAAAAAGCAAGTATGTATTTGTCGAGTACATAGTCATTATTGTTTTTAACAACTGTCACCCATCGTTCTACAAGCTTGTTGATGCCATTTTCGCAGAAACTTGTTGGAGGAATGTTGTCAGGTAGCTTTTAACTGATTTTAGTTTTGATTGGGTTAAATCTTTTGTCATGAAAATTGTTCTGTAGAGATTGGAACAAATGAAAATCCGTAGAAGCCAAGTCAGGGGAATATGATGGGTGTTCTGGAAGGTCGGCTTTGCAACATGTGGTCTTGCGTTGTCGCAGTGGAAAATGACACCTTTTCGATTTGCCAAAATCGGGTGTTTTTCTTGAATAGTCGCACCGAGATTGGTGTGTTGGTCACAATACTTATTTGCAGTTATTGTTTTGCTGGCCAGTAAGAGCCTCAAAGTGTATTATTCCTCTGTAATAGGACCAAACAGACAGCAACCTCTTCATTACATACAAGTCCGATTTAACCCCGGGTTCTGCGCATTCACAAGCTTGTTTTCAGCTCCGTTTGCGTCGAATGTTATCAAAAATGATCCATTTTTCATCACCTGTGGCAATTCTGTATAAGAACGGTTTCTTTTCTTGGCGTAACAGCAAAGAAAACGCCGCAGAAACACAATAGAATTTGTTCTGTTCTGTGAGAGGATCTGGTACCAACTTGTCGAATTTGGAAACGAGGTCAAGTCTCTTAAAATGACGAAATGTAGTTGAGATATCGATTCACAAACTCTTAGCAATCTCTTCCGTCGGAATCTTTGCTTTATTCTCCACTATAGCGAATAGAGCGTCTTCATCAACGTCGGAAGGTCGCCCGGAGAATGGTTTATCGTTTAGGTTACCCCCCACCCCCCGACGAAATCTGCCCAAACACTTTTTGCTCGTCTGAAAAGCTGGAGCACGATCGAAATATATCTTCAAGGTCTGTATTGCCACATACATTCTTGTGTTTTAGTGGTGGAAAATGACATATTTTCGATTTGCCAAAATCAGGCGTCTTTCTTGAATACCCGCATTGAGTTTGGTGAGTTGGTCACAGTACTTCTTTGCGGTCATTTTTCCCCGGCTGGAAGAAGCTCAATGTGAATTATCCCTCAGCAATTTCACCAAACGGACAGAATCATCTTCATTGCATACTAGCCCGATTTAACCCCGGGTTCTGCGCATTCAGAAGCTTCTTTCCAGCTCCGTTTGCTTCGAACGTTATCATAAACGATCCATTTTTTTATCACCTGGGACAATTCTGTCCAATTCTGTTTCTTTTTATGCCATAACAGCAAAGAAATCGTAGCAGAAACACGATCGAGCTTGTTCTGTTCATTCAGAGAATGTGGAACCAACGTGTAGAATTTAAAAACGAACCAAATTTCTTCAAATAGCGAAAGACAGTTGAGATATCGATTTTAAAACTAGCAGTCTTTTCCGTCGGGATCTTCGGTTTATTCAGCACAACGGCAAGCAGAGTGTCTTCATAGACGTCGGGAGGTTAGTTCTAAATGAACATATGCAGCATCCACCAGAATGAGAACTCAGTATATTCTGCTTTTTTTCATTCTTCAGTAGACCTCGATTTAGTACATATATAGAACGCAGGGAGAGGTGGATTCATGCCTTTCGTAATGGTATTAATGCTACGTGAACAGACACAGTCCCAGATGTCGTACTCTTTTCGACGATTCAGTTTTTCTTTAATGTAGGCCTGTGCCAATATCGCTCACTGCTGCTAAACTCTCACCCCCACTCCAAGAGAGATCACTAAGTCTGTGACTTAATGCAGTTTTTCGCTGAAGAAGTTGACAGAAAACGAGTGATAATAATTGCTACTTAAGAGATTTAGACAATCAAAAAGGACAGCATTTCCATACGGTCCAACTCCATTATGTCTCGTATTTCTTTCATCTTAAATTTAAATATTTCATACTCGTTTTATGATTAAAATACCAAAACCTTGAATATCCTGAGTCATAAATAATTTCTGTTTTTGTTCTTCAACTTTAGTTTGCAAAAAGTACATTTTATTCAATATATTCACCATTACTTGCAATGACATTCTTTTACAATTAAAAAGCCCAAGAGCCACTCAAGATGGAGGATTACCGAATGAGATTATAAGTGGGGAGTAAGAGATTATTATAAGGACGAATAGGATAGATTATCGTTTGACCCTGGATCTAAAGAGACCAAGAAGCTTTCTCCCGGGAGTGTGTTCCACTACGTAACAACTCTGGACCAGAAGCTGCCTGAGGGGAAATTACCGTAATCCCCCATGTAAAATACGCTTTCATCCATAATACGCACCCCTAAAATTGTGCTGAAAGTGTGAGAAAATGCTTCTACTCACGCATAATACGCACCCCTTGTTTGGTAATGAAACCCTACAAATTGTACCTCTCTAATTTCATTACAGCCAGCGTCTCTTAATCTTATTTAAAAAATGGTTTTAAACATAGAATAATATTATTCTGATTTGGTTTTATGATAATTCTTTTTCATTTTACATTTTTATGTATTATTAGGTATATATGACTGTATTTGACATACTTATGGGGTTGCAATCGCCGAATGTTAGTGTCAAATTGTCATATATTTGTGTTGAGTAGTCATTTTGCAATTGAAGTCGACCTATGAAACGGCAATTTTTAAAAGATTTTTTGTAGCTTTGTATATTTTGCTTATTATTTTTTTAGAAAAAAATGCGTATTATATACGGGGGAAAAACGGTACTCCTCACCAGAGGAACACTGTGAACATGTGACATAGGGTTCTAGCTGTGAAGGTCTTAGCTGGTGGACTAACGAGCGTAACTCATTCGAACATCTGTCATAGTAAATTAGCGACAGAGTAGTGACAAGCTAACAACATTTCGTCTGTGTGATATAACAAGACAGCGCAAAGACTTTTGATCTCTAACGAGGCTGGACAGGGACAATTGGACAGCGCCCGCTAAGATAGACGAGCGATACTCTGATCTCAGTCAGATCTGATTACAGTAAAAATAGAGCCATACGATCGGAAGTTAAGTGTTTTCTGCAGCGATACAGTGAACCTACCATTCTCTCAGCATCTATCGGTTGCTTTTCTGGTTGACTGATTCGTATTCTACGTCTTATAATCCATTTACAGGTTACTTAAAGCCAGAAAATATTTTTAAATTGTAAGATATATTTTAAGATAATAATAGTATTAGTGATACAAGTCTTACTAATTAACCCATAGCTGGGGGGGAGAAGAGTTTGATCCATAGCGTTCCTAAGTGTATATGCGCGTAAATAATTATAACGAACACAACGGGAATTGGAACACGGCACTGCGATTAACAATTACGAACCATAATCCATTACATCCAAACTTACAGAACCTGGTACTCCCAAGAGGTCACCCATTTAGGTACTGACCAGACTCAACATTACTTAACATCACTGATCGTGCGAGGACCGTTGTATTCAATGTTCTATGAACATAAGCCCATTACACCACCCACACACCGAAGCTTGATGCACCTGGTTTTCCCAAGCATTCGTCCAAGCATACAGCACGTGGTATTCCCAAGCGGTCATCCATTTAGGTACTGACCAGACTAGACGTTGCTTAACTTCACTGATTGTACGGGAACATTTGTGTTCAACGTGCTATAAATATAACGCCATTACACCACCCAGACACACAAGCTTGCAGCACATGGTATTGTAAATCGGTCATCCATTTTAGGTACTGACCAGAGTCGACGTGGCTTAACAGCACTGAACGTACGAGAACCGTGGTGTCCAACGTGCTATGGACATAAGCAATTACACCACCCGCACGCCCAAGCATACAGAACCTGGTATTCCCAAGCGGTCATCCATTTAAATACTGACCAGACTCGACATTGCATAACAGCACTGATCGTAGGAGTACCGTTGTGTTCAACGTTCTATGAACATAAGGTCATTACACCACCCGCACGCCCAAGCTTACATCACCTGGTATTGCCAAGCGGTCATCCATTTAGATACTGACCAGAGTTGACGTTGTTCAACTTCAGTGATCGTACGGGAACCTTTGTGTTCAACGTGCTATGAACAAAAGCACAGTACAGCACCTGCACGCCCAAGCATACAGCAACTGGTATTCTCAAGCTGTCATCCATTTAGCTACTGACCAGACAAGATGTTGCTTAATATCACTGATCGTACGGGAAGCTTTGTATTCTACGAGCTATGAACAAAAGCCCAGTACACCACCCGCACGCCCAAGCATAAAACACCTGGTATTCCTCAGCGGTCATCCATTTAGGTACTGACTAGACTCGACGTTGCTTAACGTCTATGACTAGATCATTTGATCGTATAAAGCGTATCTTAACGTCAACACCTGGTATCCTAAGTCATCCATTTAACTGACCGTTGTATTTAACGTCACTGATCGTTCGAAAACCGTTGTGTTCAACGTGCTATGGACATAAGCCCATTACTCCACCCACACACCCAAGCTTACATCACCTAGGTACTGACTAGACTCGACGTTTCCAAACTTCGGTGATCTTACGGGAACAAGTGGTCCAACGCGATGTGACCTTAAGCCCTTCTAGTTGCGATGCCACTAATATACGCTTTCTTCTCAATGGAAGTGGGTGAGCTAGACCTATGCGTTCGAGGCAAGGATCTTCTTTGAACGTATGACCACTCTTCAGGTTTGATACCTATGTTGCCGGTGATATATTCGCCCGTAAACAGATACTGAATGACGGAAGATAACAACAAAGAAGTCGAAAACTTGAGTATATATATATATATATATATATATATATATATATATAAGCAAATGTAAATGGATATAGATCCGACAGAATGAAGAAAAATTTGGAAAAAACAACCAAAAATCCTTAAATGCAATTATGTTGTTTAAAATGAATGAAATGTCGACGTCTGACGTTTCGGTTTAATAAACCTTCTTCAGGACAATATTCATTAAAATACAATTCAGTTCAATTTGACAAAGACGATGGACATAAAACAACCGAAACGTCAGACGTCGACATTTCATTCATTTTAAACAACATAATTGCATTTAAGGATTTTTGTTTGTTTTTTTTCAAATTTTTCTTCATATATATATATATATATATATATATATATATATATATATATATATATATATATTGTCAAGTTTATTTTCATTAAAAAATACATCAACAAAAATAAGGTTACAACGTACTAGTCAAAAGATATCTCTGCATATTCATGTAAACGACGAAAAGAGCGTTGCCCTGAAAAGGTCGGTTTTTGTAGTCGATAACTATTTCACTGTCTTCCACTTTTATTTGGGACATATATGGTATACAGGGAGAAATGTATTCGTGCCTTTCTCAAAAGTGTTAGTGCTGCATAAATATAAGCAGCATAGGGCAGGATTCGAACTCATCACTCATTCTCTTTTTCATGTTGATTACTATTTCACTAATTTTCACCTTCATTAAGTTTTTGCTTCCATTTTCCTTAAGACTTCTTCGTTGTTCACGCCTTCCGTTCAGTGATATTCTCAGCATCCTTCTGTAGAGCCACATTTCTATTACCTCAATGATGATAACTAGCTGACAATATAGTACTGTGCTTGAATTAGTAAAATCGAGTTAAGAAAGAGGAAAGGTCATCAGAACAATGATGAATGTATTTATAGAAAAGGCACAGGGGAGCCACGTTATGGCGGTGGGTAAATGGATGAAGCTGATATGTCAGGTCAGGACCGATAATATTGCAGATTCTTCCTTTTCTATGTGCTGTGTTCTAAAACACACCGTTCCGCCATCCATTTGCACAAGCACTGTCCTGTTTGCTTTCATTATATCTTGTGAGTGTCAAATTCTCCAAGCCCTCTTTCCTCATTATATGTCCAATAAATGTCAGCTGTCTCTTTCTGACTCTCGGTATAAGTGTCTTTTTTGTTCCCATTTTCCTTATGACTTCTTTGATTATGAGCTCCGTCCAATGGTATTCTCAGCATCCTTCTGTAGAACCACATTTCTGTTGCCTCCCGTCTTTTCATCTGTGAGGAAATTGTCGAGCATTTACTGCCGTATAGGAAGGATTGATAGTGTCGCAGATCTTGGTAAAAGCTCCGCGTAAATTTGAAGGTTCGACCCAGTCAGAAATAACTTCGGGTTGAGTAACTAAGTCCGCTCAGACTGTCTCCGATCGAAAGTAGTCCCAAGTATCTAGTTGTGATTCTCACGTCGTCTTTGCTGCTTCATCCTTCAAACTTAAAAGTACCCTTTCCGACTTCCGGCTATGATGCTACCACTACTCCCGCTCATGAACAGATACACATCACGTCAGGCCCTAGAGGACATGTCCAGCTGGTTACGGCCACACTACTGTTAAACAAATCTGTTTCTGAAAGGGATATTAACCGTCGGCCATCTTAATTCACTAAGACAATGGTTCTCGATTTTTTTTTGCTTAATGCTTCCTTTTCATAAAAATCAGAATGTCATTCCCCCGACTCTTCAAAGATTGTCCGACTCAAAAGTTTGAGAAAAGTTCAGTGTATTTAAACCAATTTTATTCTCATGAACAGATACACATCACGTCAGACCCTAGAGGACATATCCAGCTGGTTAAGGCCACGCCATTGTTAAGCCAATCCGTTGTTCTGTAAGGGATATTGACCGTCGGCCATTTTAATTCACTAAGACAATGGTTCTCAAATTTTTTTTGCCCAATGCTTCCTTTTCATCAAAAATCAGAATGTCATTCCCCCACCAAGATTTCAAGATTGTTCGACTCAAAATGTGCATTCCAAATGATATGCATATATTATTGAAAATCTCCATTCTTTTCAAGATTAGTACATAGACATTTACAGGGATTATTTTTATAGAGGAGTTTTACAAATTTAATAGCAATAGGAATTTTTTACGGATTTTTAAACTTAAATACATGTACAGTAATTTGTTTTAATTCATAACTAATTATTAAATAAATAAACTGAAGCAGACTTCAATAAACAACAAAATTCAATAAACTCCAAACATACTGGAATACAAATAAACAAAAAGTTCAAGAAAAGATCAGGGTGAATCGATACTGAATATAAAATTCGTATTTCTCAAGAACGATTCTGATGAAGTATGATTTTGTACCATTTACAAATACAGTCTGAAATAGCCATGCTGGCGGGCATTTTTCAAATCAAATCAAATCAGTGTGCCAATTTCAAATAAACTTTCCTCCTGGAAATTTTTTTATAAAAAGTTAATAAACACTGAACAGAATAATCGTTATCTATCTTTATTTCTCGAGGGCGATTCTCATGAAGTACTTACTTTGTACCATTTACAAGTGCCGTCTAAAATAGAAAGGCCGGTGAGAAATTTTTCAAACAGACGTAAGAGTGCATGTTTTCGAACGCAGGATAACTTCTAAAACTAAATAATATAATTTTAAATGCTTTCAATCTTGTTTGCCCAATGACCCCGTTTCATCACATGTCAGAATGCCCCCCACCCGCCAAAAAAAAAAAATTTCCAAGATTGTCCGAGTCAAAAGGGGCATTCTAAATAAAGTGCATATATTATTGAAAATTTTCATTATTTTCCAGATTAGTACAGTATTAGGGAATATTTTTATAGGAGAGTTTTACAAATTTAATTAAATAGGAATTTTTTTATGGATTTTTAAACTTAAATACATGTACAGTAATTTGTTTTAATTCATAACTAATTATTAAATAAACTGAAGCATACTTCACTAAATAACAAAGTTCAATGCCAGAGTACTGTAATTCAATAAACAAAATTCAGTAAATAAAAAACAAGAAAAAATCCACCACCCCCAAATCACTCCCCTGGACTAGATGATAACAAACCTGATATATTAACAGCCTATCTTTATCTGATACTTTGACACCTTAACACTGCTTGTATCATATAGCTCAACATATGTCATAAAAATTCACTTCTTTTATTATCAAAATGATTTCAACTGTGAACATAAATTTTATGGTTAAAATACTGATAATTTGAAAACTATTGTTTTTTACATTTAAAATGATGTCAAATGCTTAACCATTATTAGAAAACAGCACTGGTGAATAAGGTTGCTCCTCGGTTTTGCAAATTCCTCAGTAGGCCAAGCACAGAATTGAATATGGAAGTCATTGACAAAGAAAGAATAGAGATTAGGTTTATGGCTTGAAAATGATGTCCAGCTCAAAAGGTGCATTCAAAATAATATGCATATATTATTGAAAATCTTCATTCTTTTCATCATTAGTACATAGACATTTACAGAAGATTATTTTTATAGAAGAGTTTTACAAATAGCAATAGGAATTTTTTACGGATTTTTAAACTTGAATACAGGTACAGTTATTTTTTTTTAATTCATAACTAATTATTAAATAAATAAACTGAAACAGACTTCAATAAACAACAAAGTTCAATAGAATGGCAGGTTATTTTTACCGATTTTATTCTGATGAAAATTACAATCAATGTGTTTGTTTGTTTTTTTGTTTTGTTTTGTTTTTTCGCCAATTCTGGGTTACATGGAGGAATGTTTGAAAGGGCCCAACACAGATTTACATCCTTGAGTATTATACGACCCCGTATTACAGCCATCCGTACGTTAATCTTTTTTTTCTGCCTATCTCGTT